GGCTGTGGTTGGTTGTGGTGTTGCCTAGCAATTATGACATATGATTGAGTCACACAGGGAGAGGAGAGGAGAGGAGAGTGGGTCCGTCTTGATCATCCGGACTGAGGAGAAAACTGGTAGAAAAATGATGAGCGCAGCATGTAAGGGTCTGATGGAAGAAAAGGTTGATGCTGAGCTTCCCACACTTCTCAGTCGTAGCCTTTAGGGGATGCTAATGTTCTAATAAACACATTTGGGGGAAAAATGAGTCATATCTGCAAAAGGACAACGAGACAGTAGCAGAATGAATGCCACACAACGGACCGTTTTTACGTATTTCTGAATGCTATTCTCCTTTTTATGGCAGCAGGTTTTACGGCTTGTTATTATTCCTCTTCTGTTATTTTTCCTTTACATTTAGAGAACACCCACACTGAGCTACAGCCGCACAGATTTTCAAATAAGTATAAGTCCTACTATGTAACAGCAGGCAGATTGACATGTTATCCACTAACATGATTTTAACTGTTTCTCCATCGTTCTGTATATTAGATAGAAGACTTTCTGCATAGTGCCTTTCACTACCCATCGTTTTTTTTGCCTGCGTATTCTGAAATCAAATCCCCCTGACAGCTTGATGTCAAACTCTCGTTCTTCCACTGCTCCCTCTTCCAGGTGGTAGGCAGTATGGATGCCCATCCCAGCAGATACTGTGCCACAGTGCGCGTCCAGAGACCCAGGCAGGAAATCATCGAAGATTTATCTTACATGGTGCGCGAACTGTTAATTCAGTTCTACAAGTCGACCCGCTTCAAGCCCACCAGGATCATTTTCTACAGAGACGGCGTTCCCGAGGGACAGTTGCCTCAGGTATGTGAGATGTGAACTGGGCCAGTTTTCTGTTATTTGACTTGCACAATTACAGAGTGACATATTGTGAGAAAAATGCATTTCAGCATTCAGTGCTAAATAATGATTCTTTGCAGATTCTGCACTACGAGCTCCTGGCCATTAGAGATGCGTGCATAAAGTTGGAGAAAGACTATCAGCCCGGTATCACTTACATTGTGGTACAGAAACGCCACCACACACGCCTCTTCTGTGCTGACAAGTCTGAAAGGGTGAGCTTTCTAGTTGGTTCTGTTTTCTCACTTGCTTACCTGTTTTATGCATTTAATAATTATTATCTTTGTGCTTTTTTTTTTAAGATTGGGAAGAGTGGGAATATTCCTGCAGGGACTACAGTGGACACCAGCATCACTCACCCCTTTGAGTTTGACTTCTACCTGTGCAGCCATGCAGGCATACAGGTACTAATAACTCAAATCAAATATTGTAGTGCTCTGTAGGTAGTGACACATTTGAGTGCACTTTTTTTTTGTTTGCATACATTTCTCTTCTAATTTTCTCCTCTGTTGCCAGGGTACCAGCCGGCCATCACATTACTACGTCTTATGGGACGACAATCGTTTCACGGCTGATGAGTTGCAGATTCTAACCTACCAGTTGTGCCACACTTACGTGCGTTGTACCCGCTCAGTCTCCATCCCTGCGCCAGCCTACTATGCTCGTCTCGTGGCCTTCCGCGCCCGCTACCATCTGGTAGACAAAGAACATGACAGGTTAGTGCGGTTATGAAGGATGCGGAACAGGGTTTGTCATTTGATAGCATGTAAAAATTCTTATCACCCACAGCAGTTGGAGAATTGTTATATTGAGATGTGCATTTCTGAGCATTGCATAGACATTATTTTGTTTAAAAAGCAGTGAAATATTTGTTAACTATTCATCAAACCTCAAGTACATTACGTGTAATATCACTGTCTGATACACGGTGCTACTTTTGATTTTATTCGAATGAGCACAAAAAAAGTGTGACTGATCTTTGCTTCTCCTCCTGTCATCGCTCCACAGTGGAGAAGGCAGCCACGTGTCTGGCCAGAGCAACGGTCGGGATCCCCAGGCGCTGGCTAAAGCTGTTCAGATTCACCACGACACTCTGAGGACCATGTACTTCGCCTGAGCTCCTCCAACCATCACCACCGTCGCTCCCTCCCACCTCATTTCTACCTGAGTGGGCAGATGGCCCACCACCACCTCATCCCCATCCCTTACTCCCAATGACTGCCCACTACACATACTCCACAGACCTGCCAGTCAGTCACCCAAATCCAACAAACATAAGGCCCTTCTCCTGTAAAAGACAGGCAGACTCTACAGCCTCATGCACTCAAAAGGTTATGAATATTATTATTATTGTCATTTTGTTGTTTTTACTTTACCGGGACTATTGCTCTTTTTATGTTGAATTTTTAAAACGTGGATATTATTATTATGTAATTGTATTGTATGCTACCTTCACACTCCTATGTATGTAAGTATGCAATACGGATGGGAGAAAAATAGGCGATAAGAAGAAGAAAAAAAAAAATCCTAAAAACTTTTTTAACTGCCACCACGATGCTGCCTCTTTACCCATCCGAATGCCGGATGCCAGTGTTCCAAGCCCCTTAGTATGGGGATCCTCCAGAAGGGTGGTACTGGGCACGCACACTTACATGTATCATTTTATTGTCATGAACTACATTCATGTTTTTAATGTTTTTTGAATAATGTTATTTTTTTAAACAGCCTTGAGGAGTCTGAGGTATGGTACATTAGCACTTAGTGTTAGCATGTAGGTGCCACCAGTCCTGCACATAAAGAGTTTGTTAGTACATGTGAGGCTAGCCCTCTGGTCTTTATATTAGCAGAGACAGAAAGAGCAGGTGTAGCATATCGTAGATATTGGAGAGAGGTCCTGCCGCACTCTCTGTGCTGGTCGACCAGTCCCTTAGAGATTTAGCCTATAGAGGCAAAGCTTAGCATAACAGTAGAGGGACCATTTGCATAGAGTGTATCAAATATACTTGCACCCCATGCACCTAAACCAGCATTATTAACCAGCCAAAAGTGATGCCAACCAATGGAAAAAGGGGCACTTAAACAGGAAGATAATCTTTTACTTCTGTATACATTGCTCTTTTAGGATTTACGAGGCACTTTTTAAATTTTACTTATTGATTTATTTGACTTCAAAACGGTGAAACTTGTCTTTCTCGAGGCTTGACACAGACTACTTTGAAGTTTTCACACCCACACTTGCATAGCTTTTTCAGAACAAAGGCAATAGGCAAGGTCAACACTATTCTGTAGATTTGAAAGCAGGCAAATATAGTCTGTGATCACTTAAGTGCTGCAAAGCTGAACTTGCATTCAGCAATTGACCTTGCTCTGATCATTCTGCACATTCCAACATGCATCAGTGGAGGTGACGCCACGCAGCGTGCTCTACACCTCCACCCACACAATTCTTTGCGAACCTGTACACACACACAACACACAACACACCTATCCTGCACTTGTCCCGTTTTTAGACCAAGCTCTTCCCTCTGCAGGCATTTACAACCCATGGCCTGCACAGCAGAAGCACACATCTCTGCCCTCTCTGTCTCTTTCTTAGCATGTAGAGACGAACCTGTTCAAATGCACTTGTCCCCCTTATTTCCCTTCAAGCCAAAACTGTAACTCATCAGCCTTTCCCGTCGTCCCCCTTCTATCCTCTATTCTGACATTTAGCGTCACAAACCTGCAGCATCCCCTATCCCAATCCCCTAGCTTGTGTTAGCCAATCCCTATTGGTGCTCTGTGTGCATGGGCGGCACAGATAGGGGATTGCCACATTGGACAGGGTGGGCCTCTATTACTACTACTTAATATGCCCTGCCTTTACATCTAGTCACTTTCTGGATTTATGGAAAAAAAAAAGAAAAAAAGAAATGCATGTAATTATTTTTTATGACTGGATATTCTGAGCCACCTTACTTTGGTTTTCTTAGAGGTAGGAGCCTCGCGCTCGCCACTGCCTGTCAGTCGTTTTTTGTTTTTTTTGCCTCGATTGTGTAATGGTTACAAAGACTGCTTTTTTTTTTTTCCTTTGTCATTATTATTATGAATATTGTGACTAGTGTCAGAGTGTATCCTCAAGAGGGCACTGTGGAGACGGTCTCAAAATTCCACCTCAGTTGCCCTTTAAGCGCCTCAAATCTTGTCTGATGGTCAGAGCCCCTTTGAGTTGAAAGGGATCAAAAGATGAGATGAGTTTGATTTTTAAATCATGTTTATGAACTTGCATAATCAAAATGCCTTTGTACACCGTTTTACTGATCCTTCATTGTGTCCAAGGTGATTTGTACATATAAATATATAATATTAACCTGTTATGTATTTTGGCCCCACCAGTTGACGGGCCTTTTCACAGTTGGGGCCAGTGTTCTACCCCTCGTTCTGTGCTTAAAAGAAAGAGGGGGAAAAAAAAAGGAAAAAAAAAAAAAAAATCAGTCTGGGGGGCATTTCCCAGCACCACTGAAACCAGATGCAGTTCTTCACTCACTGAAGCCACAAAGCACCTTGCAAAGGGGGGAGACCAAATGGCAGTCACCCTGGAAATGTATCATGTGGACACTGGAGAGGTCCACTCCTCTCCACACAGCCTCACGGTCTGACTAAGCAATATTGAAGCCACTGATCAAGAACAGTCCTTGTCATAGCACTTCCCAATAGATTTGAATGAAAGGACATGGAAGCATACTATTTTGGCTCTGTATGTGATAGTATGGGAACTCTGTTGGGGAGGGTTATTTTTTAAAGAAAATAAAATGGTTTTTTATTACTCCTGTTGTGTTTTGTCTTGCTTATATTTTCAAATATATATAAAAAAATGAGAGCATGAGCTACAGTGGAGTTTAGGAGATGTAGCCCTAAGCCTTTAAAAAAATCTAACCTCGCTAATAATTCATAGATGCACGATGAGCTACAAAAAAGTACATCTCATCCACTGATTTATTCATAAACGTAGGGTTACCTTTTGGGTGAAGGCGGAGTTTAATTGTTCTGACGTGTGGTGACACAGAGCCCACCTCTTCCTGTCGGTGTCAGAAAGGCAACTTCACCATATTTAGCTGGCTCGCCGAAGCCCTGCAGAGTTGATCTGTCAAGCAGCCTGAAAAATCTTGACACTTATCGGCGGACGCAACGCGGTGTTGACAGCTTTTTTTCGCCACCCGGATACAAACTACAGAAGACGACGTCGTTGGAATATGGTGCTCGGGAAAGGGCGCCGCGTCAACAGCTGTTTTTAACGCGATAAAAGTAGCCGTCGTCTGTCAGAATTCCAACTATCCAGCAGCCTAGCTTGCTAGCCAGCTAGCTAATTTACAGTAGCTTGCACCTCCCGACGCTCGCCGTGCCGCAGATACGGATTTATGTCGTCCCTCTTAATGTTCATATATCGGAAGGCACTCGTTCGGACTCAATGACCCCGCTGTGATGATATCCTGACAGCTCCTCTCGTCCGTTCCGAGCCACTTTCCTGCGCCTGGCTAGCAAGCTAACTCGGCTAACTAGCAGGCTTTTTTTTTTACTGCCACAGCGTCGCCGTTGAGCAACCGGTAGCCTTCGCCGTGGCAGCAGCGAAATCCGATTGGATACGTTGACCGTGTGCAAACGGCGGTTCGCAGGGGGACGTCGAAGGACCCCCTCGGCCCGGCGAAGCGACCGTACCGAAGGGTCCCTTCTCTGACAGTACGCAGGGGAAGGGGAGCTAGCAGGACCAGGACGCCAGGGACCGTCGGCCACTCAGCGCTGCAGAGGCGTTGCACTGCCGAAGGAGACACCGGATTGAACGGAGGAAGAGTCCCACACGTTTGACAACTGTGATCCGGGAAGTGAACCGGGCAGGGACCTCATGAATGGAAATCGGAACTACAGGTACATTTTTTTTTTAAGTCGTGGTAGTTTAACAGGAGGCTGTGAAGTGGAAGTTAGGCTTGCTGGAGAAATGTGGTGTTGCTAGTTGTGATGAAACGCCGGGTTCTGGTGAGGCTGGAACATGGGACTGTCCCCCTCTTCTTCTGATTTTGCCCAAATATGCGTCACGACTGAGATGGTTTCACTGAGTAATCAAGCGAGCCTCAATTCAAATTCTCCTTGTTAACTCAAAGGTTAAATATTTAGATGTCATCAGTTTATAAGACATAGAAGGAGGAGATGGTTGTCTGTCACTCACTGTAATCTCATCATCCAGGTGTGTGGGCTTCAATGATGATCAAACAGAAAGCCTGGTATTCCCCTGCCACTTGTACCTCAACCCTAAGCATGGTTAGTCATCTGAGAACTTGCAACAGCAGGAAACCTCTCAAGTCTCCCCGGTCTTGGTCAAAAGCTGACCCCAGATGGAGGTCATGTTTAGCAGAAGTCCTCCTCCATTGAGATTTGACCTCTCTTTTTGCAACGCTCATGCCATGTGCATAAAAATGAAGCCAGTGCTGTTCACTGGTGTCATTCTTAAACAGCCAGTAGGTAGGCCTGAGTTGAAGCAGAGAGGTTTCGGTTACATTTTCTCAACTGCATATGAGTTTTAAAAACTACAAGACTGTGTAAGTGAACGGGTTTCTGTGCAGCAGCGACCTCGTGTAACCTTGTAAATTCTTGTCCAGCCCTTGTGATGCGCGTCGTCACCTAGCCCCGTGACCAGTAAACTGTCTCTTTCTTGGTCACAGTGGCAGTTAAACAGTCTGAAACCACCTGGCTTTGTCTCAGCTGCAACGGAAGCGTTCCACTTACGAGACCATAAACCGAATCCTAGGTACTCCAGTGACACACGATACAGCAGTTGGTTTCCAGCCCACCCCCTCATTATCGAGTGGAGATCCCTCTCTGCTGCCGACCTGTCTTATTAGTATCTCGCCTCCTCTCAGGTGGGACACTTCCCAGCACTGGCAGCATAAGGGGCCGCTAGGTGATTTCCCAGCAAACCAAGGTGCTTACAGTAATGTGTGCCACAGTATGCTCTTTAAACAAGATTAAATTTGGTGTGTTGTCATGGGACAAATGACAAGTTTGTTATCTTTGAAGTTTGTACAAGATGCTTTCAACTCAAACCTTTAGCGTGGCCTTGTTAGCTCGGCCTTCAAACACACAGAAGCAACAGTAAATAGTGTTTTGTGATTAGGTTTATCCAATTTGGAAAAAAAAAAAGATGTTGCTCGATCATTTTGGTGTTTGTGATGGTCCTTATTTGTACCTCATCTGTTGAGGAGCTTGCATTGTCAGCAACTACCACTCAAGGTCCCATTAAAAAAAAACAGGCCTGGAAACTTGCCACGAGTGGTATTTTCTCACAGCACTTTGGAATCAGCAAGTGTAAATGCAAGTGCCATTTCATGCCATGTATGCCGCTTGCCAGCCGTACACTAAGTGTGTTAAGGAGTGATGCTTTCACTTTTAAATGCATCAATACAGTCATGCAGCGGCGAGTTTTGTTGCATAATTCTGCGGCTGCAGGCTCTTGATATTGTGTGTAGCGTTGGTTCACAATTCCATATCACTAACCGCTATGTGAGCTCTATGTCTGGGTGAATGATTAAAAGGGGGGGCCCTCCATCAGTCAGTCAGTGGCCTGTAGACTCGGTGTGAGAAAATGCAAATTGATCGCACGGCCCGCGAACAAACCGACAAGCCACTCTTCTACCCCGGCGCTGGTCTGAGCAGCGGCACATGTGGCATGGAACCCAAGGCTTTGGAGAGCTTAGCACTATGGGTATAATGAGTAGAAGGCTTTCGAGCCTTAAGCAAATCCAATCCATTTTGATGTGTTAACCCCACAGCATGCCCACAGACGGCTTGTCACTTGATACTGATGTGATGTTGCATTATGGCCGAGTTGCTAAGTCAGAACTAGTCCGAATTTCTCAGTTGTGGGCTTAACCTTGTTACGGTTTCTAAAGGCTTTGTATTGAACGCAACCTTGAAGGGGGGTATGAATATGTTCTTTCATATAATTTGGACATACAGAGTTGTTTTGAAGATCTAACTATCAGCAGAAGAAGCAAATAAACACATGAACATTGCTGCTCATATCAAGATGTTTCTATCCCGGCTGAGCAGAATGAAATGTGTGACTGAATATTTTATTATTTTTTTTACTGTATTGTCATAGAAACCATGTGGTGACAGCTGTACACATAAACATATTTGGCATCTTGAGAGCTTACTGGAAGACAATGAGATGGCAAATACAGTCCGGCAGGTTGGGACATCCCCCACCTGTCACGCTACACTTTGTCACCAGGTGGGATTTGTGTTGGCTGGAGATGACTCAGCTGGGTATGAAAAGCCGCTCTGGTGGAGGTGGGTTCTTTTGCTGTCCATTAACACACCGCTTAAGAGGAATTGTTTTATGAGGAAACGGCTCTTTGAGGTATTTTTAGAAACGTCTGAAATTAGCTTGTTTGTTCTGTCAAAGTTCTTCTTGTTCTTCTGCCAGTTTTGGCCTCCCCTCTTCGTACCCCCTCTTTTTCTTTCCCTCTCCTGTGTTTCCCGCTCTTTTTTTTTCTTTTTCGGATTCACAGACAGTTACCACCACCACCACCAACCCCCTCTTGTTCCTTTCCTTGGTTACTGCCTCTGTTTCCCTCTCTGTGCCCCAGTGGGAAACTCTGCCTTCCCTGTCATTCTCCTTGTAGGCTGATTCTCTGTGGATTTTGTACAGACAGTGGGGTCGGCTTTGAGGGAGGGCTTAGTACTTGATTTGCAGTCTCTCCTCATAATGCTCAGTTCATTCAAAAGCCTGCTGACAATAGCCAGCCCTCCCCCTCCACCCCACCGCCCTCCACCGCCCTCCGTCTGCAATTCCAGCCACCCATAAGGCCAGCTATCGGCATATTGTTGTTGGTTTCTATGGAGAATGCAGTTTGGTCTTTAGACAAATGTACTCTTTATTTTCTGATGGGAAAAAGTAAAACAAAACTTTCTATTAGTCCCCCTCATTATTTATTCATGTTTTAATCAGATCATATGCCACAATTGGCGTAACATGTGGTCGGCATTGGAAATGATATTTTAGCTGAACGAGTGTTAGAATTCGAATAAAACTTTATTGATCCCTTCGGTACAAAACCTCAGGGAAACTGCTAATAGTTAGTGATCAGAATCTGCCGGTTACTCCTAATATACTGCTCAAGCCTTACTGTGAGATCATTTTTAGTTTTGTCGATGTGTACTATGCTGCTGTTATTCTTAAAACTTTCGATTCTAATTTTTACTTATTGTTTTGGTTTGTTTTGGGTACAGAATTGCCGTATTAATGACATTCTTTATGACAATAGGAACACAAAGGCAGTATGCTAAAGGTTTAATTGTACATACATGTGTAAATATTTAGCGCTTTTTCAACATTTTCTTAGCCAGGTCAAGCTTTTCATCTCTCTTCTCGGCAGTGTTCACAAATGACTCAGAAAACAAAGCCTCAGTTCGTCATTAAACTGTGAAGTTCGAAATGGCGCAAAATCTAATGTTCTGCTTGACATTCAGCCTCTACTGATATGTAATCGTCCTCGATGTTTGTGTCCAGCTTCTGACATTCATTAAATAGAAAGAATGGACTGGAGCAGCATAAAAGTACATAACCTGAAAGCATTTTTGTATTATGTTTTGAATTCTTTCACCTTGCATTGAATGTATTTTTCAAGGTGAATCATACGTTTTAATCATGTGCCAGTGTTGGTGACTCAAAAGCAGCTAAGTTGACTGACGTGTAGGGCTTACAGCAAACTCCTACAAGTGGGTAGACGGAGGGAAAAGCGAAGGGATGGAGCGTATGTGTGGGAGAAGGAAGGGGGGATATAGCGGACTGTGAGGAGGAGGAGGAGGAGGAGGAAGGCTGGAGGGTGTGATGTGTCACAGAGATTAGAAGCCAGAGCAGCCAGACCACGGTTCTTTTCCACTTCCTCCTCCCACTGCTTCCTAAGATCTGGTTTTTTGGGGGGCCTCATTTTTGGGGGGGGAGGTTGTGGACAGGAAGAGAGGGACCTGGACGGGGAAGCCTGAAGATGTTTTTGCGTCGAAGCTCACAGACGGAGAAAACGTTTCGCAGCCTCGATAAGATCAATGTCAATAAGCGGCTGAACTTTAACGCATTTAAAGGTCTAATCACGTAAGCGAGAGGTGGATTCGTATGCAACAGAAGAGGCTGATTTCCATGCCTTTCAGCTGATGTAATAAAAAAAAAAATATCGGCATGTTTTTTTGCTCTTGTGTTTAGGATACAGAGCAACAAACAAAAACCAGAGGGAATCGTTTAAGAGGCTTTTCATCCATCTGTCAGTTCAGTTGTCATGAACAGCAGTCGCTGTCGCAGAAGAGCGAGCGCGCTTTATGCAGAAAATCAGAACAGTTAATAGATTTGTCAGTTTTATCAAATTTTAAGCCGCTGATGTTTCCTTTATGCCGCTTTGTGTTTGTCTCCTACCCCTGTTTATGCCTGCTCAATAAGGTTTTAATGAATAAAACACTAGAAAAATGTTCAGTTAAAGAATTAAAATGATGTTTGGGATCGTTTTTCCCAATGTGTATGTAAACAGTCAGATGCTCAGGAACATTGTTCTTGGAAAGATCGTTGTTGATGCTCATTTTTAGGGTTACAACTGATGGAAAAGTAAACTCTGTTGTATCAGGGCGGTGACTCAAGTGTCTGAAGCAGATGACCTAAAACCTCTGTAAACAAATCGAACTGTCCTCCTGACTGCCCCTATTCCCAATTTCTCTGATTTTTGGTCAAACTGACTCATGTTAAATGCAAGTAAGATGTTCTCGTTAAGATGTTGACATGACATTTAGTGTTGTCTTGTTTTCATTCTAATTATTTTATTAGAGTGCATGTAAACTCGCAGAGTGACGGGGCGGCCGTCCTGCCCAAGTCAACATTCAAA